ATTTTTAAAGGAGAGAGTGCGGTTGACTCAAGAGATCCATCACAAAACCGGTATTTACGAAGATGGTAAAAATTAGGTATAAGGGAGCTTTTTATGAAACTTTCAATACTATTAAAGTCGCATGTCTTCTAAAAATGGTGAAAATTTCAAATGGCTGACTACGGTAGTTTGGGAGTTGCGAATTTTTAAAGGATGGAGCGCAGTTGACTAAATTATTCTATTTTGAAACCGATATTTACGAAGATGGTAAAAATTAGGCTTTGGGGCGATTTGGTCGAAACTTTCAGCAATGTTAGACTCACGAGTCTTCTAAAAATGGTAAAAATTTCAAATTGTTAACTTCTGTATTTTGGGAGTAGTTCATTTTTAAAGGAGAGAGTGCGGTTGACTCAAGAGATCCATCACAAAACCGGTATTTACGAAGATGCTGTCGCGGCGCTCTGGAATACGGAAAACTGGGTGTTAAAAAAATTGAATTTCGGAGATTTTTACGGTCAAATCTCAATTTTTCTTTAACAGTTCACGCAGGAATGACGCCCGATTTGAGGCCTGAGTTGACTGAGGAAAAACGCCTTTAAACATCAGGATGATTCATCAGGAACTCAGAAGTCAGAAGTAAAGCTCGGATTTAAAGGCAAGAAAATTCGAAGAAAATGGCGCTTATATAGGCAAGGATTTTTTTTTTAAAAAGCAGACATTTTTTGCCAAGGCTTAAAGTAGCAACAACGTTACACATAAAAACTGATGATGGTGGAAAAATACACCGAAACGTATTTTAATTGATAAATCGAGACAATAAATGACTGAAACCCAGGAATTAATTTTGATTTGGAATAATAATAATAATAATAATAGTAATAACAGTTAACTTAAGCACTGTTGCTATGTAATATTTTTTCATTTATAGCTACAACTAAGTGATTTTCTATGTTATCGGTCTTAAAGGACAGCCTTCTGTCACTTAAAATAAGTTTATACATCGAAAAGATCGTTCGACGTCAACAGATTTGTAATTGGAGAAAATTTGAGGCTGGATAATATATCAGGGTCAATTTGCAAATCATCAGAAAAGTCTGTATTCAAAACCTTAGAAATATTAGTAAATAGTTAGAGGTCTTTATTTTTATAAAAAACATTTTTCATTTTTCTGTAAATAATCTAACCAATGCTTCTGGGTGCTGAATTAATTGTTACCTTTAAGTTATTTGTTCGTTCAATTGATTCAGATAATGATGATTGATTTGTCTTTCCAGCAAAGTAATAGCTTTTACAATTACTTTAAAGTTTTGATTTATATAAGCTAGCTGTTGATTTAGTTTTGGATCTTTCAAAATCCTGTTGGCTTCTCTAACTGCTGCGGAAGTACTACTTTCAAGTTCTGACATCACTAGCTCTATCCTACTATATCACTCTATCCACTCTATCCAAAATCTTCATCCCACTCTATCCAAATCATTGATCAGGGGAAACTGATTTCGTACTTCCTAAGCAATTCTATTCACGCCGTGAGCAACACAAGTGCAATGAATTAAGCTAGGATAAAAAACTTTTAAATTTGTTGCAGCTTTTAACATATATGCCGCAGCATCTGAAAGCATTAATATTATTTTATTGGTTGGGTAAGAAAAGGTTTGTTAAACTGTCCTGTATAAATCTACTAACAGTTAAATTGTTAGTTTTTTTTTAATTCTTTAACAGCAATTAAATAAGGTCTATTTGAAAAAATTTCACTCAAAATTTCAACCACCAAATTAGCTATATATCTGCCGCATACATCTGTCGTTTCGTCAACAATAATATATAAAAATTTTCCCTCTAACTCTGCTTTAATTTGTGAAATACATTCAATATGACATTTGTCTTAAGTTAATTTTCTCAATGTGCTCTCATCCGGCACAGATTTATTAAAATTCTTTCTGCAAAAACCTTTAAAACTATGCCGAAAACCTTGAGAAAAGGCAAAACCTGACAAAAGTTTCCGAAAAAGGCAAATCGTGCAATAAATGTCTTAAATAAGCAAAATAGACAAAAAAAGGCAATTTGCCTTTAATCCGAGCTTTACTCATAATTAACGCGCGCTTAACCATGAATCACCCAGTATAACACTGATTTTATGCGTGTGGGTGAAACATGCTGATGGTGGCAGGGCAACATGCAACATTCTAACCCTATAATTTCGGAAACAATGGGCCGAAACACCGAAATCCATGCAGCCGAAGTTCTCGTTTCCGTTCTTCCTTGCATCCAAAGACACCGACAATTACCGCATTGTACGGAAAACTAATAAGAAATTGGCACTTGTTTGGGAACGATGCACGGCTCTAATAACAATTTTTCAGGGCTGTTCGTGACCTGCTTGATGGCCTTTGGGCGCAAACCCCATGTGGTAGAAAAATTACCAATACCTTCGCTCCTTTAATTAGATGGTGTACCTTTTCTCGACGAGTCGTTAAGACACCCTTCGGACTTAAGCTCTATTCAAAAAAAGGTTCCCTTTTGTCAAGTGGGGCGCACAGAACCAGTATCCTTTTCGCCCGGATTTTCTTCATGGCAACTAGGTGAGTGCCATTATCAAGTTTCAAGGGACGATCAAATGAGGGGCATACCAATCGAACCGAACAGACACAAAGAACGCTTGAAACATTGAACAATAGTGAGAGATCCACCAATTGTTTTCTCTAATTATCGCCAAATATACCTGATCTCCTAAAAATGCTGCTTTTGCCGGAATTTTGCAGTATTTTGCAGATTTCACCGATTAAAAGCTGTGTAAAGTATCTCCATAAGAGGAAACTTTGATATACTTTTGAAGCTTTGAAGAGCTCAGTTTACTAACTAAGCACAAATATTCTACACGCTGGTAACAAGGTGTGAGATTTAGTAAAATAACGGGCGTCAGTTTCGAATCACCGTGTAGATGAACGATGCCCTCAGAGGCACAAAATGTATTTTCTGAGAAGGGAAGAAATGTCCTCTGAAGATCAATGCATTTTTGTCAGGTACTCTAATTGAAGACAGACACAAAGTTTTTCAAGCTTTGAGCGAATGAATCATCATCTGAGTCGATAAAGCAAAAAGAA